ATTATAATATATAATAAGTTTCTAAATTTAGATATCAATATTTAGATTTAGTTTAATAACATTGCCTTTAGTGCTTTTCGCAAAACTTTTTGTAACTTATATATTTGATAAATTATCTATTTCTACTTTTTGAGAAAGATATACAAAAATCATCTTATCCAAAATTAATAAAATTCTTAAATAATTTAATAAAATTCTCAAATTATTTTTCGTACATTATATATTAAATTGTTAATTAATTTAATTTTAAATAATAAATTAATAATGTATCTAATTAAGTAATTTTACAATAGACAATTGTTTTAAAATATAATTACCAAATACTAAAATACTTTTCCTAGTAATATAATATAACACTTCTAGTAGTTACAATTATAGGATAGCATTGGACAGTATTGTCAAACTAAACTTTAATAGGATAGAATTTTAGTTTTCAGATGCAAGGTTAAGACTCCAATTATATTTTAGAGTTAAGACTAATATGCACTAATCTCTATTAATTAATATGATAAATGATAAATTATAAATATTTATTATTTAAGAAATTAAAATTAATTTATACATTAATATTTTTAAATACTACAATATAGTTAATAATTTCAAAAAAGTGTTAATATTAATGCAACCTTAGTAGATCATGCTAGCACCGCCCCCACAATTATTTTTTTGAAAGAAAAAAATTTGGAATAAAAAAAATTCTACCAATTATACTTTGTTTGGATTGAGGAAGTTAGAGAAGAAGGAGAGGAGAATGAGGGGGAGAGAACATCTTCTTCCATTTGAGTAAATCATTTTAATAAAAGAGGAGAGAGATGGACGAAGATGGAGCCCCCTCCCTTTCTTTATTATCAATCTCTCTAATTTGAAAGAATTGAGACAGATTACATTATTTAATTTATTTTTATTTTTAATTTTTTTAAATAAATAAATATAAACATTTGGTTTCAACTATTTATTTAATTAATAAATTTTAGAAATTTTATTCTTCTTTATTTTATTTTTTAT